TGGAAAAAACATCATATGTAAATATTGAATATAATATATTCAAATTTCCTCATGCAAATCTTCTTGCATTACTTTACCAACAGTAACATTTTGGGTGCACAGGGATATATATATATATAAAATCAACTGTAATATTACAATCACATTATTCATATTCTATAGGTTTAAATTAATTAAATTCATTAAAATTATACTAAATTTATATCAATATAACTACAGTCTGAAATTGGTTTCTATTTTTGCTCTTAGACTGTCTGTTGTTATTTTGCCAGTAAGGTTACCTAAAGGTCAGCCAAATATTTCTGGAAACAAGAAAAGGGAGAACAGGTGAAAAAGCCTTTTCAAAATCTGTTTGCTTGCTTCCATATCCATGTGTTCTTCTACAGAAAGAAAATATCTAACCATAGCACACACGGTAACCAAAATCCCAGAAGGTAGCAAAGCATTAGAGGAAAGAGAAAGAGGAAAAGATTTTCGATAGAGAGGTTTTGCTTCTCTCATAGTGTTCCTTCACCTTTGGCTATAGTATCTCTGCATGTTGACATTTGTCAATATATCAGATAAAGAGCTGCAAATTACTTCAAGCGTTATTTACTCAGAGCACCTTCTCCCTTTCCCTGTAAGTCACATGAGTTTGATTAACAGCAGGCCCCAAGTCACTTGCCGACATTTGAGCTGCAAATATAACTGCTGACTGCTCTTGGCTTCTATTTAATGCTCAGACTCTCCTTATGGAGAGTTTCTTCATTTCTCTATCCAATTTTTTCCCATTTTTATGCCTTCTGGATCTTTCTAGGAAATAATTTTGGTTACAATTGGCCACACACATTTATTGTTACAATGTATACTTAAAAACCTATTGCCATTAGACCATTAAAATAATTTTTCCTATCAGCTTTCCAGCTGTTTAACTCAGAACTTTTCTAACTAGTTTTAAGTTCCTATCTGGTCCAGCTTCTTTTCTGCTCTGCCAGTGAAGTTAGAGAACATTTTATCACATCATTTGTATTTTTGAACTACCCACAATTTTTATTTTTTAAGGCATCCAATTCTAAATTTCTAGCCATACCCAGGAAAAGGATTTTGTAACATTTGGGAGAATTTAGATTACTGTATGAATATCCTGAGTCAAAGAGGCCCACATTTTTATGTGAGGTTTTCCACTACAGATTTTATTTTTCCAGAGTAAGTATATGGTATTAGCATGAAACTACAAACTATGTTCTGCTTTTCTGCTGTTAACTATCCTATGTCTTGTCAAGCTGAGAGTTTGTGTATGTCTGCTGTAACAACCTTGTACCATGGAAAACTAATGTTGATAAGAAGAGCAGAGGTAGCCTATTTCAGTACTTTCAAAGATAATGAACAGTTTGTTTCTCAACTTTAATTAGAAGGGTAATATATCACCCCCTCCCTCCAGCAATCAATTTTCCTTACCAGAGCTATCAGGGCTCCTTATATCAGTAAAACCTGACGATTAGTACAACCACCTTCTTGCTAATAATAAAAAAAGTTAATTGCCTTTCCCCTAAGTTACTAAAATTGGGTGGGATGTGGAGAGCAAGAGGAGAACAAACAAACTATGCACTTTGTTCTCTTAATGAATGAAATTATTCTCATGTGGTAAAGTGGTTAGAATATTTCAGTCCCTGATACACTGTTAAGTCTTTTTGCTTCAGGGCACCTTTTATAAAACATCCAGTGTTCAGGTCACTTAAACCATGATGTGCAAACGCTGGTCATATTGTTCCTATGTACTGCTACTGAATGAATAGCACTGCTTTCATCAGCACTTCTACATGAGTATTATCTTGACAGAATCTATTTAACTGACAAGACCAGAAATTAAAGCAATATTAATAAAAGGTGTTCTACAGCGTGCCCGTCCCTCAAGTTGTTTCCCAAGATAATGCTTCCTTGGACAACTTGTATCTATACGGTCGGCAATACAATTCTGAAAAATACCCACATTAATTCCATCAATGTATGTTTGGAAATAGCCATATTCACTAGTATTTACATTTTAAATCCCCATTTTACTAATATCTACTAAGTAACAAATACAATTTTATGTCAATTCCACCTTCAGAGTTTGGTAACTGCTACTGCTATAAAACCTTCAATTTGTCAGGTGGTAATCTTGTGTTAAAATGTTCAGACTCATTAAATTGCACTGACATAAGCAATAGATGATAAAATATTGTGCTCAGCACTTCCCAGGATCAAAGTCTGAGTCCCAGATTGATTACTTTTCATACAAGTTTACAGAAAATGATTTTTGCAGAATTTAACTGAATATACAATTACGCTTCTGTGAATAATCTCACTTCCATTTTTGGAACTGGACTTATTACCTCATAGTCAACACATGAAATTTTGCTCCATTAAAACACTTTGATCTTTTCCCTTCTATCTTGACATGTGAGTTCCTGCTGACAAGCTTCTTTATGAAGATAACTAACGCTGCATTAGGTACATATTCCAATATAAAATTGAACTTGTTTTCAGATGAAATAAATCCTACAGGACTTGCTAGAAAAATCTCAGCAACACCACGAGTGCTAGGTAGGCTAGAAGGCATATGTTACAGGACTTGTATTCTGCTTAGATTCTGCTATTGTTCAATGTTAATCTTCACTTTATGTAATAAAATGAATGTACCATAAAGCTACACAATGTCCAAAAGACTCAAGTGTTTACAATAAACAGAATGACTAATACCTAAGTTTAGGCCTAGCTTGGCTTCTCTCTTGATCAAGTTTGTGCAATTTTCACTGTATATATGAGAAATTTTTTGATTTCATTAACTGATGTTCTGTTCAGCTCAAAAGGTCTTGTTTAAAAGCTAGAAAGAAAATTGTATGTATAAAATAATCATTCGGGAATAAACATTTTTCTTTGGATATATAAACACACTGCATCTTCATAATCACAACTATCACATTCATATAAAACAGGAGGGTCTTCTAGTTTATTTTCTCCAGTTGCAAATCAGTGCTAACTAAACTACATCTGAGAAAGGTTGATATAACTCAATGCTACTTTCAGAAATTCTACTACTTTTAGTCATGGTGTCTGCCCATGCTCAAACACCCTTCCCAATGAAGTGTTTTCCAGTATCCTAAATCTCCCTTGTTTCAATGAAAGTCAGTTACTTAATTTCCCACTACAACAGCCTCTCTGCAGCAACTCTCTGCATATGAATTCTATTTTCTCCTCAATTATGTCTAGAAGAAATAATTCTCAGTCCTTTCCTATTACTCTCATAGAAAATACTTCAGAAATATCTGCTTGTTCTTTATGTTCTCCTTTAGATTCCCTTCCAGCTACCCTTCAGTTAGAGAAGCATCTAAAGGAAGCAAGTCTCAAGAGTGATGTATTATTGCCACTAAAAAAGAAGCAGAGTTCCAAAGGTTAAGAGGAAAGCGATGCAAAATGTTAAAAATCCTTTGTGATGGCAGAAGGACAATGAAACCAGAGTTTCTTGCAGCTCCCTTGTTACATTATTGAGAGGCCTACTTTAGCCACCTCTGTAGGGGCTAAAGTTGCCTTTACCCTGTAGTTCCACTGTCAAAATGACATCCCGTGATCAGCAGTCAGTTGCCAGCAGTGACTATGACTGCATGGAAAACAGCCAAAATACTGAATAGCAGGAAGGGCCAAGCCTGTATCCCTCCTTCCACCTGTTAGCTATTAAAATACTAAAATTAGCAAATTTCTTAATGATAGAAAGTAAAAAAAAAAAAAAATCCTTTGTGGTCATCTAAATTTAATCCGATTTGCTATCTAGCTGTATTTGATATTGATTCCCGAAGTAAAGTAAGGATTGTCAAAGGAAGCAAGTTTTTTCTAGACTAAATGCATGAGGAAAAGTAATTATCCATTGACAAGAACAAGATGCTTTATTTGGGCAGACACGGGGAACACCTTACCAACACTGTCTGGATGTTGTAACAGAAACTGTTGACAGCAGACCTTAATAATTATAAAAAATCAGAGAAGTAATTTTAATTGCCCTTTCCCCATCTAGGTCTAGGCCAATTGCTTACCAATATCCTTACAAACACTTATTCCCATTTGCTCTTGGCTCCTCATTTACACCTCTTTTCTCCTAGCTCCTACCTGCTTTCACAAGTCTTTTTATTACACTGTTTTTTCTCTTCCTTATTCTGTCAGTTGATGCCTCGTTTCTAGATTTCCTGTACCACCGTCATACCTGTTTAGAATTTTCCTTCTATTTCTCCAGGAAGTCAGGCATTCCTGCTAACACCGTACATTTGTGGGAAAGCCTTCTTGTCCAGATGTCAGCCTGCAATACAAGCCATGAGCGCTGCTTTCACGGGTGTTTGGGGGAATTATCACAGAACCAATTAGGTAGGCAAAGACCTCTGAGATCATTGAGTCCAACCTTTGACCGAACCACTACCGTGTCAACTAGACCACGGCACTGAGTGCCACGTCCAGTCTTTTCTTAAACACCTCCAGGGACAGTGACTCCACCACCTCCCTGGGCAGCCCACTGCAATGTCCAAGAAAGAATTCTGCGAAGAAATTCTTCTTAATGTCCGAGCTAAACCTCCCATGGCGCAGCATAAAACTATTTCCTCTCGTCCTGTCACTGGTTGCCTGGCAGAACACGCCGACCCCCCTTTGGTACAGCCTCTTTTCAGGGAGTTGTAGAGAGCGATAAGGTCTCCCCTGAGCATCCTTTTCTTCAGGCTAAACACCCCCAGCTCCCTCAGCCGCTCCTCACCAGACTTGTGCTCCAGCCCCTTCACCAGCTCCCCTTCCCTACTCTGGGCTCTGGACCAGGAGCCCCAGGCCCCCTCCCAGCCCCAGCGTTGCGGTCCCGCCTCCCGGGCGCGCCTACGCCTTTAAGGGCGCGCTCCCCGCGGCCCCACGTGTGCGATCAGCTGACGGCGCGGCCCTCCCTCCGCCGCCCGCCCGCCCGCCCGGCCCCGCCGTCTCTTTCTCCCCTCCCTCCCTCCCTCTCTCCCTCCCCGCCGTGCGGGCGGCAGCGCGCCCTGACAGCGTCGCCGGGGCAGCGCCCGCTCTCTCCCGGCCCCGCTCCGCCGAGCCCCCCACGCCTCCCCGCTCTGCGCGCCCTCCCCGCCGTGGCGGAGCTCCGGCCGGCCCAGCGCCGCTGTCAGCCGGGCGGGCGCCCCCGGCCCCTCCGGAGAGCTCGGCAGCGCGGCGCCCGGCGCCTCCCCGGTACATGGATTACCTGGTAGGTTCCCCACCCGCACCGTCGGACACGTTCCCGAAAGGCGGGGGCGGTGTGCGGGGCTCAGGTGAGCACCGGCGGGGCAGCCCCCGGGGCGGGGGGCAGCGGGGTCCGGCCGCGCTGCCCGCCCCGGCCCGCCGGGCTGTTAAAGGGCGATAAAGCGGCCGGGCCCCGCTCATTTGGCCGCTATTAGGTTTCTAAAGCTGTGACCCGGGTCGCTGTTTTTTTCCTAAATGCTGGAGCTTAGGGCACGCTTGAATGAACTAAATTGCTACCGCGGGCGGGTTCAGCCGGGCGCCCGGGCAGCTGGTATTCGGGTGTAGCGTTTATGGCTGTTTAATGAATATTGGCTGCATTCGCCTGCGAGAGATCGTATCGCAGGCGCGCACCTCAGGATAGGGTCGTGGCCGGTGTTTGGACTTCCCCACTCACCCTCGGCAGGCGAACCCTGTGGCACGGCTGGGCAACGAGCACACGACTTTGTTTTAGTGTGGTACCTGCTTAGCTGGTCTTTTCAGCCTAACAGTGGGAGAGCGTAACGAGCACATCCCATCGCTCCAGTTTTGTTGACATCCCACTGCTCCAGTCTTGCTGCTTTGAGCGCTCTGCTGTGAACTGGTTCCCCCTCCTTCGCCGTGGAGTGCTGCAAAGCTGCAGATCGGGCAATAATCGGGCTAGGCATCTTCTGGTTATCCCTGTTCGTTAATGGTGTCAGGTGCGATCAGAAGTACTTGGAGTCAGAATCCTGACTCTAGTGTCTTCACATGAGCTGCTCACGGATGTAGGCTTTCAAGAGAAGTTCACCAAACACAACAAAATCTCTGGAGATGCTCTTTATAGTGAACTGATTTGAAGATTTGCCATGTTGAGGTGAGCGTTACATGCAGTGGCTGACTTTTCCTTTTAAGACGATGGAATTAACTAAACCAGAAATACATTGAATTTATACTTTTGTATTCTTGTGTCCATGTAGCTTAAATTTGTTTTGGTTTATTCAGCTTTATACCCCCAAAAATGTTTTAGGCTTACCTTCCTGAATTCAAATAACAAGAGAAAAGAAAATGAGTCCTTGTGTGGAAGAAATAGTAGGCAGGCTTCTCTTTAAGAACCTAGTTAATGAAATACTGATAATAAACTTGCTGTGTGTCAAGTGCAGCTTTATAGCTCCTTGAAAGCCTGGAGCTGTTTCTTAGATTTTTTTTTTTTCCTTTGTAAACTTATATCCAGACAAAACTGGCTATCCTGTACTTTTTGAAGTGCTTGCATTAACCTCTGTGACTGCTACAGGCTGTTTTGTGGAAGGCCAACCACTTGGAGAACAATAAATTTAATAAGCCTTGGAAACTGAGAGCATGTTTTTGTATTTTTGTATTAACTAGAGGGGGGAGGGGATTAAATAGCTCTACTTTTTTTTTTTTTTTTTTTTTTTTCCCCCCTGACTCTTTTTCTCCATTTGGTCATTTTCCTCTTTACTTTTGTGTGGCCTTCTTTGGTGTCAGCTCTAAAAAACACATTGAACAACTGCTTCAGGCACCTCGGAAAGTCTGCTCTAACAAAAAAAAAAATATTGTGCGGTGAGTTAGGCAACTAGTTGTGTGCACCCACTCTCAGCTTGGAGGACCAAGCTGTTGTTACACTCTGTACCCGCATAAAGATGGGCCTCTTTATTCATGCAAGATTTGAAGTTATAATGTGGACGTTAAGCTATGTATGTAGAACAACTGCCTCGTTATTTCCGTAACAACAGTAGTAAAAAGCTCTACATGTTAAGGAATTTTGTGGGTTATGCATTTATGTTGGGATCTTTCACCTACACTGCCATCAAAACATAAACAGAAGGTACCTTTGCTGATTCCTCATGTTGGGCAGTGGGACTTTTACCTATGCTTGCAGTGTGAAGCAGAGAGCAGAGCAAACTATGCAGTTGTTTCTGGTTGTAGTAGTCCCGTGACAGAGTATTAGACAAAGTTTTGGTTAGCAGTGGGGCTTAACGAGAGAGTTTAGTGGAGGGAGGTGAGGATAGCTGAGATCAGGTTCGCTGCAGCATGGACTCGGGAGTTGTTCCATCTCCTCAGCCAGCTCTTCCCAGACTTGCATAGGAAGGTTGTTTTCCTTATTCTAGCTGAATAGGACCTACACTGGTAGAGACTTCTTTTCTGCATTGAGGAACAGATCCCAAGAAATACTGAACATCTGTGGCACCTTCTAATATTAGCACGTTATTGAAAGCATTCAAACCCTGCTCAAAGCCAAGTCAATTTGAGCCAGGTTGGACTATGGCCCTGAAGCTATTAGGGGGAGATACCCAGAACCTGACTAGGGCCTCCCCTGCTTACAGAGTGATCCTTGGTTTACAGCTTTGATACGGTTTGATAATGAACTGGTACTAAAAGAGTATCTTCTGTAATGCTCTGTTCTGTTTTTAGTTTTGCGTTGTAACCAAAAAGTATCGCTGGCCTCTGTATCTTTACTAGCTGGAGGAGGCTCTTGAGCTTCATGTCTTTTTTATTTTGGTAGTGATATAATTACAATGCTAGGAGTGGTGTGGTTTGTTGTTTTGGTTTTGATCAACATAGCTAAATCAGGTTCCATCTCTAGAAAAGAATCCATCTTCACTCATTTAGAGGCATCTTTTACTTGTGTTATTATATCTTTTAAAACATACTGTGCAAACACAGCTGCGTAAGTGCAGTTTTGTAGGTTTTTGTGACTATGTAATCTGGTGTTTTATCTGCAACCTTCTTCCGCTCTGTTCTTGCTACATTGTGTCTGAAGGGATTATAGTGTATACAGAGACTTGTGTTGGTTGGCCTATGTTCAGTAGACTATGCTTAATTTAAGAAATTATGGCATGACACATCTTGTGAAAAGCATGGCATGTGACCAATCTTACAGTTTTTGCTTGGAGAACTTGTGGGAAACAACAGAAATGCTTCAGGTTTTCATACCTGCTACTTGCAATGCAAATTTTAAGCGAGTGGAATTTCACAATGCACTTCTTCAGAGGCATCTCTCTGTACTAGATAAGGTTATTACATTGAATGGATGCATGTATCAGCCTGATCTGTGTCAAACTTTTAAAAGCTACTTGAGAGGGTGATGTAGAAATTTGAGTGTGTGTCTTCACAAAAAAAAAAAAAAAATTTGCCTAAGAGGTTTATAAGATAAAATTGATAACCTGTTTAATTTTGTATTAGCAATTTTATTATGATAGCTTATTTCCCTAGATTGTACCCCAAGATACTACATAGTATCTTAGTTGTATGTAAGAATATTTCTTGGGCAGGTATTGAAGAGTAAATTTCAGCTGGAAATGGAAGATGACACTTCTTGCATGAACAATCACTTCATCTTTAATTTGTTGGATGTTGGAGTTTTTTTGTTTTGTTGTGGGGTTTTTTTGTTTGTTTTTTCTTTTTAGTATAACATGCTTTGGGTTTTTTCTTTGTTCTTTGTACATTTGTTAGCTGGTACAAACTATTTTACTCCTGTACGCATGCCCTCAAAAAGCTGAAATTTGGGAAGTTTTTGAGTAATTGTAATTAAATTTTCAAATTTTAGATGAATAGGCCTTGAAGGGACTTAAGAGTTTTTTCTTGGTTTCTGAGTGGTCTTGATCTCACGTTCTGTGTTGTTAGTGTTCAGACCAAGTCTTTCTTGAGTGGGAAAAGCTGCATATACCAAACTCTGGTATTCTTAATATATGAGGTGATATTAAAAGGAAAAAAAAAAAAAAAGAAAATATTTCTGAACAGCTTTTCTTTCTTGGACAGCTTACTTTTAAGACCTTTCCTTTGAAATAGTTTAGACCCTTTAATTTAATTGGACAGGCTTGATTTAGAAAGTGGTAATATAGGATAGATCAAGATCACTTAGTGGTTCTGGTCTACTTCATGTCCTGTCTTTCATTTCTGTTGCCAGTTCCATTGTTGGGTATCTGCAGGACATAGAAAACATTTTCTCTTATACTACAAATGGCATTAGGGAGGCATAGGTTTGAAGGTTAGAGTTTTACTTCACTGAAACTTTAAACCAGTAGGTGCTGCCCTTTGAATAAGGAAAGATGGGGAAAGGTCCATACTAGCAACTCTGTATTTTTCCTCTGAGACACATGTATATATTTTATATATCACCTGCAACATGAGCAACAAAGGTCTATGTAGCCTTGCCCTTACTGTTTATGCTAAATACCCCTCTCATATGAATTTTTTCTTTTATCACATAAGGATTATTTGGGCTGCCTGACTCATCTATCAGCTGTAACATCCTTGAAAATTTACACCCTCTGTAGAACACAAGCACTTTTTTCGTATTATCTTTCAGTTTGGGAAGATGATAAGGGGTCTGACAGTTCTTTTAAAATAATAATATAGCTGAATGCAGGAAAGAAAGTAACAGATATAAGATCAGCTAGTGTGCAGGCTGCATGCAGCTGTATTGGTGTTCAGATCAGATGCGAATCTTTGAAGTGAATTGTAGTCATCTCTACTTACTACCATAGGTTCGCATTGCAGAGTGAGCACAGATGACATGAACTTGATATTTTTTCAAACAAAACCGTATGGGAAGATGTACTTCACTAATGCAAGCTGTCCAACTTCACTAATGTGAAGTACAGGGCAAGTCAGTCCACAGGGCAAGGTCAGAACAAGTGTCTGCAGTATGAATACTAGTCTTCAACACTGACTCTTGCTGTGCACCACCACACTGTGTTGCTCTGCAGCATGCTGCTCCTGAATACTTCAGTTAGACCTCCAAGACCTCAAAGCTTGAGGCAATGTACTGATGAATTTCACAAAAGTTAGAAATGCAAACTTTGAATAACTGAGAAAAATCTGCATTTAGTAAGGACAGAATATTCATCCTAATACCACATGCTGATTACCATTTTTGGCTTGTCGTCAGTATCATCAGCTCATGTTTTTTTATACTGCCAGCTTGTGGTGTTTATTTTCTTAAACTGAGTTCTAAAGTTTTGTGATTATGTGAGGATATTAGCTTTC